TGGATTTCTGGAATGAACGGAAGATGATGTCTCTATTTGTTCTGTCCGTGGAGGACGTAGAAGATGTGTACATTATTGGATTTATAATGACAGGGTTTCTGCTTTTAGGAATGGGTGGATACCTTGGACATTGACTAATTAGGAAGACATTGTCAGCAGTTTTGGCCATAATAAAGCTGCCAGCCTTATGTGAAGGACTAATCCGTGTCTCGAGTTCTCAAACTCATATGCTGTCGCAAGCTGGACGTGATTTCTGAGAATCAAAAACCTGGAACTCGCCAGCATGAAGGATTCAATCTTGGAGAAAGCTAAAATGAACACAGACCGTGCAGAATGTCCACTAATTCTGGCTGTTTGGATTCGCCATTGAATTGTACCAGCAGAACTTGAAGGCAGACAGAAAACAGTCTGGCGGCCCAAACAATTGTTTATCTGAATTTGGCCTCACCGCTCGCCTTGGACAGGCCAACTTATCTCAAATTGTTCCTGGAGGATACGTAACTAGAAGCTCTGCCTGGCCTCACCCTTCCCAGGACATCTGTGGCCTTATCAGAACCAAGATGCTGACAGACACTGTACCATCTTATCAGAACTTTAGAACTCTGGAGTGTTTATGGATAACTCACCGGCTTTGTTGACCTCTATGAATAAATGTATTATGATGTCATTGTATGTTGCAGCTTTATGTTGCGAGGTCTTTCTTTTTTTCATCTTTCACACTGTTTTCCATCCAGGAAATGGTGTGAGACATGATTTTTTTTTTTGGGAGGGGGGGGTGTCTCCATCCTCATATTCACTTTTTCTCATGTGCCTGTATGTTGTTGTAAAAGAGTCTTCGAGGCTCAATGGGAACTAACCAGTATAAATAAAGGTATAATAATAATATCTTAGTAAAGAGACAAAAGCTTTAGCCTCTGTATATTTGCATGCCACCATTTGTGCACAAAGATGGGTTAATAAATCATTCTTAATCAATCTGCGTTAATCCAACAAAGAGCTGCCTCTTCCCCAGTTTCAGCAAGATCCTCAGCAAACCTCATCCCCTCACAGTCGTGAAGCAAACCAAAAACCTCAAATCAACTCTAAACCATTCCGCTTAGTCACATTATGAAAACTTACTTACAGTAGTATTTGTCTTTATTGCAGGAGACCGCAGCGTTGCATAAACTACTTTGAAGCATGCTGTTTTCCTCTGCTTGAATCATTTTAGCGAACACCCAGTAGCCGGATGCCTCGAACGTATCACCGCTTCAGCCTCATCAATAAAACAGTTGGAACATCTCTGCGAGCACATCTTAAGAAACTGTTACAAACAGCAGCTGTTAAACTTGTTGGAAGCTGAACTACGGTTAGTGTTTAATGACACAAATGCACAAGGAAGACGTCTGTCTCTGACCGTAAGTTTTCTTTTAAGAATGGAGCCAAAATGAATGGAGCACTGTATTACTACTGCATTACACGCCCACACCTGATGTGTGGACCTATGTGTTTCTGCATCGTCAACCAGCTCTATTCTGAACATCCTCTGGCGGTTTTATTTCCACCTGTGTTGTTTTTATAGTTGCTGAGCACATATAGACATTTTACCTCTCTTGTTACACAGTTTCTCTCAGAGTAAACATTTCTGCTGCTGATGCTGCATCCACTGCAGCAGAAGTGGGTTAACTTCCTGCTGGACCCCCAGGGGCCCCGAGGGGCTGGACAAACTGGTTCACTTACAATCAGTCTGCTGGTAAAGCATTATAGTTGATGATGTCATCAATAGTTTTATTAGTTGTAAAAAGTGGCAAAACCCTTGTTGTTTGCAGCTGCTTAATAAGGTTACAAACGCCCTAAATTAAATGTTTTAGGGGCTTTTTTTGGGGTCTTTTTCCTCAAACTGGTTGATCTAAATTTTAACTGTGACCAAAAATAAAGCTCCCAACTGAGGAAGTGGCATGTTTCTTTTATATTTTCCAAAGAACATGAAAAACCAAAGAACTCAATAAAATATTGCTTCATATTCACAACTTAGTCAACCATAGGGTGAGTTTAAACTTAAACTCACTTCTCACGCTAACCAGTTTATCCCAGATCATCTGTGTCCTGATAAACATCCTGCTCCCTCTGTGTGTGCATGAGTTTCCATGTGTCCTTGAGGTGGCCCAGTTCTGCTTTGCACACCTTTTCCAAGGCAGTTTCTTCATCTAACATATAAACTTAATGTCTCTCGCTTTGACTTTACCTCTCCACATCCACCCCTCCTTTCACAAACACACCCTTTTCCTCTTACCTTACTGGAGTCTTTAGTTCCTCTCTGTCTTGCAGCAGTGTCCCCTTTAGTCCTCGCCTCGTTTCTCTCATACTGTATACTCCTCATCCCTTCTTCTTCTCTCCTCTGTAGTCTGGAACTTTTACTCTTTGCATCTATCCTTCTGCTCTCATCAGCTCGCCCTGAGCTTCTGCCCAATCCCTATCCAGCTTACTCCAACCCCTCTCTCCTTCGTTTTTCTCTCTCTCCTTCAAGCCAGTAGTCAAGAGGCATTTGTGTGTATGTGTGTGGTGTGTGTGCCAGCTGGCAGTATTAGCAGGAGAGGGGTATTTTTTATGCGTGCTTGTGTGTGAGGAGCATGAGTTGCAGCATCGGCAAAGCAGAGGTTCTTTGCAGGCAGAGAGAACGTCTGAGGTCAGATGTGCGCTTGTGCCAAACTCCACCAGCGCATGCAGACACAAGTTAATGAAGCCCTAATCTGGTCCCTGGAACTCTTTGGCTGCACTTTACTGCAGGGTAATGACTGGATGGGCAAAGTTTTGAATTGTAATGGCAGGGACTGTGCCTTAAATATTAGAACAAATCAATTAAATCACCTTTTGTATTGTTTCCTCTGGTGATGCTGTGCAGCTGGAAGGATTTTTACTGAAACTTTTTTACTTTTGGACATTTGTTATGATGCGTAACCATGATAAGGTGGGGTTTTTTTTGTTTGTTTTTTTAACAAGCGAGAGCAGCTGATTAGCACCTCAAAAGTTCAAATAATATCTCAACTACAGCCCCAAATCGCAAATGAGTTGAAAAGGAGGAGCCATGAATGCATTCCTGTCTCCCTGCCATTTGTGCTCGAGTGCCTGACCACTGAGATCCTGGAACTGGCAGGAAACATGGCTTATGGCAGCAGAAGGACTGGATCATCCCCTGACACCTGCAGCCGGCTGTCCGCAGCGACGAGGAGATTGGTGGGCTGATGGGAGGAGTAGCCATCGCCCTGGGAGGAGTTCTTTCTGGCATTAGGGTGGTCCTGCAGCCCAGAGGAACCAGAGGCCAGCCGAGTCTGGGTGGATGGATTGGACAGCATCTGTGGCTCTTTTCTTGGTATCACTGTGGGACAGACCTTTACTAGAGATCCTTCCTGCCTACAGCCATCAGCATCTATAACATCTCTTAACGAAACGAGGATAACAAGTTATAACAACATTTAATTTCCTTTTGGGATTAATAAAGTATTTTTGAATTGAATTTAAGTGAATGAAATATGAACATGCATGCTTATAGTAGCGACTTCTTGTCAGTGGGTAAGATTATTCAGACTTCTACTTCATAAAGTTGTTGGCTCAACAATTCATTTTCAGATTTCTGAAGTATGTGTTATTTAAAAGAATGAAGAGTGGTTTAAAGGAACGTATGCAAACTTTTGAAGTTCTGACCCGCAAATAAATAAATAAATAAATAATTAAAACTGCAGAAATTGTGACCGCAGCTATCACTGGTTGATTACCTTTAAAGTAACCTGATGCATGCTCAATAATCCAGGTAGAAAAATCCAAAAACATGGACCTTTAAAGTAAGGTTCCAGGTTCAAGGTGTCTTTGTTATTCACATCACATGTGGTGCATGAGGTGGAATGAAACTGTGTACTCAAGGTCCCAGTTTCACCCAAATATAGCAAAAATATAAAGTATACAAATGAACAGTATACAAGGATCTAAGATACATGCTAAACAATAATAATGTAATATAATACAGTGTATTAAACAGCAGCCTGAACATGAGTCTGCAGTAAGCAGATGGGTATGAATACAGCAGCTTATGGGTAAGAAATGACCATAATCTTTAAATTGTATTAAATTTCTGAAAATCATCTTTAAAATCCTAACACTGTTTTAAAGTATGAAAGAATTTGGAAAATCCACATTCATGTCAAATTTGGTCATGTTGACAATTTCCTGCAGGATCAGTAAAGTTCTTATCTTATCTTAAATCACCAAAGAAAAAAATCCTACTTTTTGTACAATACAAGATGCTACAATCCAATATGATATACATTATCAGAAATAACCAAAGGCTAGCTAATTGGTAATAAACAGCCAGCGAAAATCTTAAATAAGCAGAGTGCTAAAAGCTGAAAGTTACAGCGATAGCTAAAAGCTAAATGTAGCAGAGCAGTAGCTAAAAGCTAAGAGGGCAAAATAAAGCGAGTGTGCTCAAGCAGATTTCAAAAAGGTTATTTTTGATCGATTTGAAAAATCTCCATGTATTTCAATGGAGAAAAACTATTTTTAATCAAATATTTTGGGGAAAACTTACAAAAAACTTGTCAAAGACATGGAACTCAGGTTCTGTGTGAGCCGAATGTTTTGACATCAGAATGGCTAAAATGGCGTAAAGTATGCTAAATAGATTGAAAGGATGCTGACTTGGCATTCACACAATTATAAAATTGTACAAAGACAAATTAAATTATTTAGTTCATAATTTTACAGCTGAAGATCTGCATGACCACATCTGTACAGCAGCTGTACTTTTTGATTTTTTAAGGCCTGTTATGTAGAGTAAATCTGCTCTGAATGTCCAATTTATGCTTCAAACCAGCTTGTAACATTTTTTCTGCTTCGTTCTAAATTACTAAAAATAACTGGTACCCTTAGTACACATATATCAGATTACTAATTTGGCCAGTCAATGAAAACATATGTGTCCTAGTACTTGCTGACTGCGATAATTGGTGTGAATTTTTCTGACTGACCTGCAGAGCGCTGTTGAGGAAGCAGCTGTTTTGTCCCGGCTCGTTGCTCAGGCCTTTGCTGGGTGCAATGGAGGTCATAGTTCTCGGGGTCACCAACCCCGGCACCCCGGCAGCTGCTCCACTGCCCGACGCAAAGTAGTTCCTCTTCCACGACATCACTACCTGAACATCCCTGTTTCCACAGCGATACAGAAAAGAGGCGAGGCAGAAGAACGAGCGAAAGCCTCTATGTCACTCCCATGAGAGAGAAAGATGGAGAATGAAATAAAGGAGGAGGAGAAAACGCAAGGAGGAACAAGAGGGTGGCTGTAGACTGAGGAGATGCAGTGTGCCTTGGAGAGGGATTTGGCCCCCATACAAACCTCCTACTCTCCAGATGTGTTTTACTTTAAAACTGGTGGATTTGTAAGGGCCAAGGGGTCAGCTTTTGGTTTTTTTATTTTAGCTTCGTTGATTTAGAAGTCTGCGTTTGAAGCCATGAGAGCAATTCCAAATCATCCTTTGGCCAGGATCTTTGTCGGATGAAAGTGGTTTGGACAGCACTGCTGCTCCCATGTGGGGATTCTGGTGCCTTCTTTGTTTCTTTCACTTTATCTGCAAGACACAAACAACAAAAAATCTGTTAGACCTCAAAACACCTAGCAATAGCAACCCAATAGGATTATACTGTCAGTGGTTTGGAAAACAAAAACTGAAATTTACTGACAAAAAGCATATATGGGAATCTGGTAGCAAAACATTAGAAAGATCCTTAGTTCCTGTAGAAATGGCTGCCATCGTTTCCCCAACAGATTGGTATCTGAAATATTTTGAAGCCTAAATGCCTCAATCCATGCTGGGTATACTACTGCCCTTCTAAGAGGATTTGCTTTATGGAGATGTAACCAGTCCTCAAAAGTGCCAAGATGCAAGTTCTCCTAGCAGAACAGTTTTCTTAGTTGTCATTTTTGAAGTGAGGTTCAAGAAGTTGCTGAAAAACAGCTGAAATTAGCTAAAAAAAATGTTGAAATGTAGCTGATATGGAAGAACAAGCCTAAGTTAGCAGAAGAAAGTGAAGAACACGTATTTACTGAATTAGGTTTAAATACAGAAATTAGCACAAAAAATATGAAATTAGTTAAAAAGCTAAAAACAGCTGAAAAGGCAGAAAGAAGCTTAAACTACCAGAAGGACATGGAATGAGCTGAAATGAGCTAAAAAAAAAAAAGTGGAATTAGCTGAAAAGGCTAAATTTAGCACAAAAAAGCTGAAATTAGCTGAAAGTACCTGGAAAAAATGTTAAATTTGCACAAGGGAGATGAAAGAAGCTGAACCAGAACAAAATGTGAAAGGGGCAGTAAAAGGTTGTGAACACATCTAAAGATTTGAAGGATGTAAAATGAGCTCAATTAATTTTCTGAGGAAAAAAAAGGCAGAAAAGGCTAAATATTTCAAAAAGCTGAAGCTGAACCAATACCAAAAGCGAAAGCACCCTTCTCTGAACGAGCTGAACGTTTTGATACATGATTTGTTGAAATAGCACAAAAATTGTGGAACGAGAAAGATTCCGAAAAACGTACGGAATAAAAATGGATCACAATAGTGCGAAGGCTTCATAAACATTCACACGATAAATGTTGCCATGTAGAAGTGCCAAGCTTTAATTTTAGCTCATGCTAAAGAATTTGCCTTCTTTTATACTATCCTTTGGGTGAGTGTAATTTTAGAAGCCTGAAAAACAATAAACAATGTTGTCTCTAGCCTTTGGCCTTCGCTTGTTGAAGTCTTCAGTCCTTTACTTCAAACTCTATACTTTATAGCTCAAAAGGTACTAACTAATCCATTTGACAGGACATCTCTTTTAACAAAAATCACCAGACTCTTTCTTTAGCTTAAGACTAGACTCAGTGTTGAAATTGGATGTTTTGCTCATTCAGTATGGGAACCAGTTTATGATCGAGTCTAAATTTGAGGCCCACTCACAGTCTGAATTAATTGTAATCACTTTGTGGCCTAAAATCAGATTTTATTTTCAACATTTTATCTTGGAAGCTATTGTCTGTTATGTCATTTTAAAATCTGTACTCAGGGACTTAATGAGGAGATTAAGCAAGTCCACGCATGGACACCTTCTAAACACATGTGTGACAATAAAAGCATCTGTATGTGTTTAGTCAACCTACGACCGTGCATGGCTGTGTGTGCATACATTTGCTTAACATCACAGGGCAGTAGGTAATAGATCCGCAGTGCCGCTCACACCCTCCCTTTGCTTTACTCCCTTCCTTTCCCTACAGCTTCTCCACTTTTGGCAAAGCTCCTTTGCCTGATAGCTGGGCTGCATTAACACCACAGCATCCCTTGGCAAAAGGCCAAAGGGCACAGGGATGCTGTAGTGAGCAGTTGAGCACCGTGGGCATTCACCATGGTGACTGCCACACTAGATGAGGTGAGGATCAATCAACTGATCTATCTATATATATATCTATGTTTGCATGTATGTATCTATGTATGCATGTATGTATGTATATATGTAGGTATGTATCTATCTATGTATCTATGTGTCTGTCTGTCTGCCTAAAATTGTCAGAGGATTTAGTGGGGGATTTGGTTGGCATGCCCCTCTTCTACAGTGCAGCGTCCCAAGCTTCTGTCTCAGCATACAGTGGGTGTGCATCTGCCACGGAGTTTGTGCACAGAGTGTGTGATCACACATCCTCTCTCTGACTGCACCTCACAGCCACACACGACCAAGATGTGGCGAGCTCTTTGCACAATCGCTGCTCATGTGGATTGTGTGCTCATGTATCCATGTGTGTTCGTATGTGTGTCCCCCGATCTTCGGCTAGTTGCCATGGAAATAGGCCAAGCAGCGGGCATGCAGGGGAAAATCTGAACCATGTGATTTAAGCAGAAAGACACACTGTGCTGAACTATTAGAGAGAGAGAGAGAGCTCACGCAAACACACCCTCACACACTGGGCTGCCAAGTGATGATGATATGTATTGATGGGGGAGACTTCCTGGAAGCCAATGTGAGTCAAGGCACAAGTCAATCAAATTCCCTGACCCTGCTCTGAAAGGCTGGGGATGCAGCTCAGACTGAAGCCACAGTTGTGTAATATTATAGTCAAGACTCTGGTTGTACAATGATAAATTGTATATGGGTGGGTGGGGAGATGTGTATTTTGTGTAACATGATTTTGTGATTTGCAGAAATCAGCCCCAGTTTGACTTTTAGCTTGGCATGAGTTGGATTTCTTTCTGCAATGCTGTAAGGTCAGGAGGTAAAGATACCTGAAGTTCAAGATCAAGATGTGTTTATTTGTCATATGAAAGGTTAACACAAGGTCAACAGTACAATGAAATGCTTAAGATGAGAAGAACCGATTTGACTCGTAAAAAACAAAGAACAAACATAGATAGATGGATAGATAGATGTGTATATATCTATATATATGTATATATACATATATACATATATATATATATATATAGATATACAGTAAAACAAGGGGGAGTGGTGGCTGTGGCTGAGTGGTTAGAGCAGTTGTTCTCCAATGCAAAAGTTGGGGGTTTGATTCCACCAGCAGTCACATGCCAAAGTGTCCCTGCACAAGACACTGAACCCCTTATTGCTTCCTATGTGTGTCCCATCGGTGTATGAATGTGATAAAGCACTGATTAGTCTTTGTAGAGATCTAGTAGAGTGCTGTATGAATGGGTAAATGAGGGCACAGACTGTAGTGTAAAGTGCTTTAAATATCTTAAGATAGAAAGGTGATATATACTGTAAGTACATTCCATTAACCATTTAAAATGTAAATGCAGAGCAAAGGGTTGCAAATACCATCAAACCCTAACATGTACACTTAAAATGACAGCAAAGCTGATTTCATGATAAAAGTCAGTTTAATAATAACCTGTACGTCAGAATACCCACAATGCCGTGTAAACAAACAAGCACTGTAGGACGTGTGGTGAGTCATCCCCACAGTCACCATCCCGCTGCCTGAAACCGTCACCAAAACACTGACCATAAATCAGTGCACCGCTGAAAATACCATCCAACTAATTCAAACATTTGCTCATGTTTTAGTAATGGCTGTTAAAAAATGCACTGCTAAACGATTTATGGAACTTATTAGTCCAGTAGCTTTATGTTGTTTGATCGCAATTACATCTTTAAACAGAGCCAGAGGCAGCATCACTATGATCTATGGAGACGTTGTGTCTTTTTTTGTTGTTGTGAGGTTTGCTGGCAGAAAAAAGCATCTTCTGAGTCACTCTTCATAAAGTGTTTTAAAATAAATTTATCTTTTAAAATTACTCGTGGGGCAGCACGGTGGTGCAACTGGTAGCGCTGCTGCCTCTCAGCGAGGGCCTTTCTGGGTGGAGTTTGCATGTTTTCCCCGTGGATGCGTGGGTTTTCTCCAGGTACTCCAGTTTCCTCCCACAGACCAAAAACATGCATGTTAGGCTAATTGGTAACTCAAAATTGTCCCTAGATGTGAGTGAGAGAGTGAGTGGTTGTTTGTCTCGTTTGTGTGTGTCCCTGTGATGGACTGGAGACCTGTCCAGGGTGTACCCCGCCCCTCGCACAGTGATTGCTGGACATGGGCACCGGCGACCCTCGTGACCCAAAATGGAAGAAGCGGGTAAAAGATCATGGATGGATGGATAATTCATGGTCCTTTAACTCGTGGTCAATAGTGAGACAGAACAGTTACAATTAGGCCTGTCACGATGACAAATTTTGCTGGACGATTAATTGTCTCAGAAATTATTGCGATAAACGATAATATTGTTTGAAATTTGACAATAATTAGTAATTATTGTCAAATTTACAAATAAATGTTTTGTTAATTTGTTTTGAGTGTAGTACCTTTTTTCAACCACTGGATGGCAGAATAAGACAGTTTGAACCAAAGGATGGATAGTGAGGTAACAAGCAGCGTGTCTCTTAAAGAAAAATGGGAGGTAGGCCCCTTGACGTGACATGGGCTGTCTCTCTTTTCTGTTCTCAAAATGACGGACACTCGGTTTGTTTTGAGCTCTTTAGCACAGCATTGTTCACACAAAGCTTTTAATAAAAAAAAATCAGTAAACAAGTTCTCAGCTGCTTTTTGCAGAGAAAAACTTTTTACACAAAGGCACGGGTTTCAACTGTGAATTTT